TATATACCTAGATTTTTTAATGTTCTATCAGTCCTGAAAGTTTCATGAAAATCGATCAAGCCGTTTTTTCGCGTGCACAAAATATGTAAGAAAAAAAATAATAAAAACTGTGGAAAAGAAACCTAAGAATAACAGAAAGGTCTTCCGCTGAAGACGGAAGACCTTAATAATACACATTGCGAACAGCGCAAAAATCACGAACAACTGAAATTTAAGGGGTTGGATCAGGTGGTTAGAAGGAGAGTAAACATCCCCTGTTGATCGTCAGAAAGAATGAGTCCATATGTTTTGGCCAGGTAGATGGAGCTGTCCGTTGTCAAATTCGATCTAAAAACCAGTCTTAATATTGATTTAAAGCAAGTCAACTGAGAAAAGACCGAATGGTAGGTTATATTTGCTAACAAAGTCATGATAATGACCATAGAATTTACGAAATGATGAGTTTAAACGAGGTTGTTTAAATGCCTGTACATAACATCAACTTATCAGTGAGAAGCATGCCTTGCTTATCATACTCATATCAAGCTCTTAAATAGCGATTGGGTGAGGAAACAAAAACACATTAAACATAAATTAGAAAAGTTGATGATGAAAAAGCTTAATTCATCTCGTTTGTCATAAAATTGTTGTTAACTGGCCATTACCGTCTACAGTCATTAAAATATCCAAAAATTAAGCGTTTGTTAGACCCTGTTGTGTCTTTTTAGATCATATGATATATCTGAAGAAACGCACTTTCAGAAAATGTTTTGTATCAAAATATGGTTTTTACTACATGCAAATATGCACTTTGCGATTTTTTTTGTACAAAAGAAACTGATGAATTTGCTTTGCTTTAAATTATTCAAACCCATCCATTACCTGTCTTAAAAAAATAATGATCGATATCTAATTGTTGATAGTTTGCAGACCATAAGATACATATTGTGAGGTCTACTACAACTTAATATATAGCTGAAATTGTGTTTTTTTCTAAGCTTCTCAACAAGTAAATAGAATTTGGATAGGGTATTTATTAAAAGTAAATACATACAGTTGATGAATTCAGTTTTAACAATTTTTTTTACAAATAAAAGTGAATGGGATTGGGCAGCAGACTAAGCCTATTTTAGCCCTCTCCCTACAAGGTCAAGGTAAACACACACACTTTACAGGTACAAAACTAAACAGACACACATTGTGGAAAAAGAAATTATTAATGTTATTTTGGGATATGATCATCTAATACTAATAGTATGTATAGTACTATGGTTTTCAATAAAAAATATCAGAACTTAACAGATTGTGAGGTACATCACAAAGTACATTTGCAAATACGTTGTGTACACCCTTAAAAAATTGGCAAGTAAATGACTTGGTTCTAAGTATGGCTTATACAAGATAATTTAAAAAATTACCAAGGTCACTACTTTCTTTCGGTTAAATTGTATTCATTTATTAAGCTCACCTGAAAGAAAATATATTTGATGCGATTTACTGCTCAGGACGTAAAATTTGTTAAAAATCTAGTTATTTTGAAAAAAAACAAGATGTGTTTGTGAAACACTATGCGCCCGGCGGCAAAAAAATTCTAAAAAAGCTATTTTTAGCATAAAAGTCACAGTCAAGGTCACAGGTTATTGATCTTGGTGTCATTTGAAAGGGCTTAATTAGTAGAGTATGCATACTAAATATAAAGTCTATATCTTTCATGGTTCAAAAGTTATGGCGAAGGTTAATGTTTGCAGATTTTAAAAGCTATTTTTAGCATAAAGGTCACAGTCAAGGTCTCAAGGTCATTGACCTTGGTATCATTTAAAAGAGCTTAATTAGTAGAGTATGCATGCCGCCAAATATGAAGTCTATATCTTTCATGGTTCAAAAGTTATGGCGAAGGTTAAAGTTTGCAGACAAACAGACAAACAAACAAACAAACAGACAAACAGGCAAACAGACAGACAGGACAAAAACAATGTACGCCCCAGATCTATCAATCCGGGCGCATAAAAAAACGTGCATAAAATATGGTGAATGTACAGGTCCGCGCACTTTTAAGCTCACAGGGTTTTTCGCACAAATTAAGATCACATTTTTCTTGCAATAAAACTTAAAATTATCAATCTTCAGTACGAGACATAACCCTTACATTATTAAATATTTCATGTGAAAGGTATACATCTCTAAAATCATTATCTTTAAAACTCGATGTTTTAAAAGGTAAATTCTTATAAATTGTAAGATACGTGTGTATGATTCTACCATAAGTATTTACAAATCAATTAATCGAGCTTTCTTTGATATTATTTAGTTGAAATGTTCAAATTGATTTCTTAGAGATGATTATTTTTTAAGTACTCTGCACATTTTTCATACTTTCTTGGTTTTGTCGAAATGCAACGCCGAAAATGACAAAACTGCATACAGAAATCATGACAAAGGATAAGATAATAAAGTATTTTTTATGTTTCAACATAGTCGATTGTTATTATTGAAAAGAAAATTCTTTAACGTTTTTGGCCTGCGACTTTGAAATTTTGAGTTGGAAGGTATCTTTCATGATGCTAGATTTCAGAAAGTTAACCTGAAAAAAGGCCATCTTTTTAATATGAAAAGCAGTCAAACAGATGAGAAATACTTATATCACCTTGTGCCTTAGTGTCATATTAATGTACAGAAAATACAGATGTTATGAACTGCCCTGTTTCTGTATATATAGGCAAGACAAAGATATGCTTAAAAATGAACGGATACAAAGATGGCTACATTTGATGAGAGACCCTGAAAAAACCATTTGGGAACTGTCATAATCTATCATCAATCAAAGAGCATATCCTACCAATCATTATGTGTGAATGATGTTTAAAGTAATGGAATAATATCAAAATTAAGTTATAAATCACTTTTAAAATATATTTTATTGTCACGTTATATAATATTGCATTATAATAATGTGACCTTGATTTTTGCGAAAAACAATGTGACTTTACATTAAAGTGGGTGGAGCTGAATAAAGATACTAAAGTAACAATCGCTAAAGATTCCCTTTATCACAATCTACTGGTTTCGGATGGATCAAGAGATTTTGATTAAAAACTCTCTCTGGTGAGAACGTAAAAGTGCCTGATGGTAGACACTAAGTCTATTCTTACCCTTCACTGGACGAATTAAAATTTACAAACCTATTTATAGGAGTGGGAAAAACTTGTTAATATCCTTGATAAACCTTATAAAGTCATTGATTGTTAGGCAGTTACAAATTATTGTGGTTTATTTTATGATGCATGGAATATATAATATGTTTCATTTCTGCAATTCAGTGCTAGGGAAAAAAAGTTTGGTTTTTTCTTTTTTTGCTTTTGAAATTCCTTATGTAAAGAATACTGAATCAATAAGAGAAGTGTCTTCTTAAAGATAATATATTACTTTTTTATAGAAAATATTCATTATGCAAAACAAAAATTACAAAAATTCACGAGATGTGATTTTTCGACAATTTGTTAAATAAAACATCACAACCCTGTGTACTTACCAATAAAAAGCAATATTAAAGTCAGATAATAATCAAAACATAAATACTGAACTATGTCTCATTTATTACAAGTTTATTGAAATAAATACTTAAACAAAGGAAATGCACATATGTATTCAAGTTTTTTTGTAGACTCATGAACTTTAAAAACTGATTTACATTTCTTAAATAATAATTGAAAATTGCTATCACTTATCCCAGGGAAACTAGAAAGACCATAAATAAAACCTGTATAATATATAAATACATAAAACATGTATAAACAAATACATAAATAAATAACAAATAATAAATAAATAACACTTTTCACTTTAGGAGCTGAAAAAAAACAACAACATTTAATTACTAATATTTTCAGTTATAGCAATTCGCATTTTTTTAATTGAAAGTTAATATTAAAGTAAAGTCCAAACGTATAAATTGATTCAATTTTGTCTGTTTTACAGTGATTCATATCTTCATAGTAAAGAAAAACCATTGTTTGGCTTGTTTACAATATTAATTAAGGATGGCCTACGGCAAGTATTTCATGTCATTTAATGCACTTTGGAAGATGAAGTCGTTACGCACGGACTAATTTTTGACAAAGGAGGCCATTGCAAATTGCACAATACGTCAAGTAAAAGTTGAAATTGCAATGAATCGAAGTGTCATTTCTTTGAATTTCAGTTACTATTTTGTTAATGGAAAATCATTCCGAAAAGGTGTTTCTATTCCAACTCAAAGAAAATAAATGTCTTATCGCTAAAAAATAAACCTCACATTAGAGTATACTATTAACATATTCCCAAATTTCAGAGGCAAAGCAGAATTTCTTGAATTCTATTTTTTTTTTTTTTTTTTTTTTTTTTTTTTTTTTTTTTTTTTGATGATTTTTCCTAATTTTTTTTTTCATTGTACAAAAGTTGAAAGCTACAAAAAAGATTAATTTCTTATAAAAATGACTTTCATTGATGTTGTAAATATGTTTTCACTGTATTATCTTCATTAAAATACAGCTATGCAAATACACTTCAATTTTTTTTTTCATTCTGATTTTTTAAAATTCAAAATTCATTTTTAAACCCTCTTTTAACTTAGTATTGATATCTTAGATAAATAAGTGTATCTAAATATCTACATGAGATATATAAAATTCAAGTGGTTGATTAAAATAAAACGAACAAATATAAGTATGATTAACAAATCTACTTTATGAGGCAATAATTTGCATAAAATAGTATTATAGTAAGTAATTTCATTCATAAATAAGCATGTTACCATGGTAACTTGACAGGTGGTAGCCACTTCCCAGAAATGATTTGGCAATGCACCGCAATATGTTTGATTGGTAGGGCCGTCTTGCGTGTGATGCTCTATTAATGATGTCCGCGTTGTCACGGCGATGACAGCAGACGTAAGAAGACAATACTGTCATTCACGTGACGAATTTGTCTCCATTTAGCAGACTAAGGACTTCCCCCTAAACCTCGCTCTGTATAAAAACATCACGTATCTATATCAATAAATATCATTTGAACTAAACATAAAAGTCGAAACACACATAAAAACTGAGGACAGAAATGTTTTAAATTTTGTTTTGGATTACACACTATTTAATTAAAAGTAAGTATTTTAATGTATTATTTTTGTGCGGTTTGTGCCTAATTCAGCTTGAAATAGATCGTGTTATATGATTCTTCTGAAATTTTTATTTTTTGTTTATTTTACTTGCAGAAACAGGATGGCAGTTCCAAAGTGTTTTATAAGTGTTTTGTTCCTCGGACTTTTACCTGTCACATTAGCTATGTTAGAACAATTGGACTACCCACTTCCTTATGCTCAGTGTTTATATAAAATGTGGAAAAAGTCCCATGGAATTCACCGGGAAGTGGCTCTAAGTATTTATCACCAGTGTTACTCTAACTACAGATGGAAAACGTCACAATTAAGAAACTTTGCCGCCAAGAACGTGACGTCTGGAACCATTAGGTATACGGGTAATCTAATCACTAGTGCTTTAGATAGAGTCGAACATAGCCGGAGAATGAGAAGACAAGGCCAAGACACACGAAGAGTCCGCAAAGAGTACCGAGTAATGACAGATGACGAACGAACCAGGTACCATGACGTCATCAACAGACTCAAGTTCGAGGAAAAGGTTAGTTTGAAGAAAATTTGCATTAGGGAAATAGTAAATCACAACTCGTAATGAAAAATTCTGATATATTAAGCATCTGAGGTTGAAAACATCTCATCTGCTGAACAATTCGCTTCACTTAGATGACATTCTGAGGTTCTGTTGTTGTTTTTTCTCATTTTTTTTAATTCAAGATTTTCAATGACCCTCATATATTTAAAGGGATTTTTTTCCAAAACTATTTACAATAATTATAAGTACGTTTGACTGAATTTTGTTTGTGGAAATCAATTTTAGATCGAAGGAGAGTCCAAATTCGATGTGCTCGCTTCATTCCACTCTGGTGCCACCCAATACACAGCTCATGGCGGATGTAATTTCTTGGGATTTCACCGTTTATACATTCTTATGTAAGTCTGACAACCTATCAGCAAGAATAGACACAAGGTTAATCAAGCTTGTAGCAATCACAATGCAAAGTGCGTCATGGTTTACGCAAGCAAAGAAAACCACAGCCTTCAATACACCATCAATCTAAATTAAGGGACTATTTATACAAGGAAAAAAACTTAATTTCGTGTACCATTCATTCTTAATTGACTTTTATTTATAAATACATATTCTAAGACAATGACTTTATAGCAATTATTTCATAAATATTTTTATGGAATTCTCAACTTTTCTAAAGCTTGAAAAATTGAAATGAAGATAAATTTGAATAAATCTATAGATTTATCACAATTTATGTTGAATAGGTACGAAGAAGCCCTTATCCAAGTAGACCCAGAAATAACCCTGCCCTACCTCGATTCCACCCTGGATTATAACATGGGACTGGAAAACAGTGCTAATTCCATGATCTGGCATGACGACTTTTTAGGTACAAAAGAGGGATTCGTCACTTCCGGGCCGTTTGCTAACTGGAATACAACGATCGGACAGCTCTTTAGAAATGTTGGAATTTCTGGTAGACCCATGAATGATGACGAGATAAAAAATATTACATCACGTACAAGAATGCATGAAGTATGCGGGGATGACGCTACGACTTTTCACGACATAGAATTCATACACGGTCCCTTTCATTTGTTCGTTGATGGAAATATGGGTATCATAGAAGTTGCCTCCGAGGAACCTGTGTTCTGGATGCACCACGCCTTCGTGGACTATGTGTGGGAATTACAAAGAGAGAATGCCAAGACCAATGGAGTGGACATTGAGACTGATTATCCCGAGTTATTTGGCGACGTCTATCATGGTCCTGACGAGCCTATGGGCGACATGATGGAGGGACTCAGCGTACGTGATGGATTGAGTGAGGTTTACACAAAAGACATCTACAAATACGCCCCAAGACCAACCTGCTCAGCTGAAAAGCCCGACTGCGGGTCACCCTATCTTTTATGTGTTCAGAATGATAAAGCAGAGTATAAATGCCGTTCAATGAGTATAGAAGAATATGATGAATTTAAATCAAATGGTGGCGGGCACACAGGTATCACCACAACGACTACCACGACAACGACAACTACGACAAGTACGACACCACAACCGACCACCACAGCCTGCCCCACCCTGGCCCCACCCTACCCCCCTCAACCAAAGAACAAAAAAGGAGACCTTCACAAACCCATCCAGAACTCCTTCTGTGTCAACGGTAAAAAGAATATTAATGAATGGATATACATTCCAGTCAGGGTTACAATTCGCCGACCCACAGATTTTGGAAACTATGGATCGTTTCCTGTTGTTAACGGAAAAGTTAATACAAACACAGACATTTACTCTTCAAAAGGATACACCAAATTGGATCGATACATGCGCAATGGAAGAAAACCTGCCGATTATGGAAGCTGTAAAAGTACATATAGTGGAGCCGGAGAAATCTATATTCAAACAGATGGTCTTAACTACGACGGGACCTACAAGGAGTTCGCCATTGTAGATCATAGATTGGCAGTATCCGTGTCTATTGCCTATGTTGCTATTAAGAACCCCGGGTCAGGACAGTCAGATGTTCTGATATCGGCTTATGATTCCTGTGGACGAGTCTGTCGTCCATCGTGTCTTGTTCCTGGTACTACCAATCTTTATCGACCATGTGCAGGTGCTCTTCGTGTAAACACAAAACAGCCTCTGATGTTTGGAGGGAGCTTTGGTGATTCAGTTCTTGGAGTCTGGGACTTTAACACAGAGAGATCTTGTCCCCAGTTTAACATCAATCAGATTTATGTATCCTTTTACTGTGACTATAGCGACCGATGGCCCTGGCAATCAGCTCTCACTCAACCAGGGGTTAAAGAACCAGAAAGGCCTCCAGCTGGAGTGAAGGTCAACCGGAAGTCAATGAAACCCAGTCCTCTACAAAGTATCAATGCTCCTCAGATGAGCCTGAATGCTCCAGCTAATGCCCCATTGATCATGACCACCACAGCAGCTGCCAACACAAAACCTATCCCAGCAAGTCCACTGAAAAGTAAGTCATCTTTATAATTTCGTACAAATCAGGAAATCCCCTATAGCCTTCTCGTTAAATATTTTGAAACTTTGCAATATTAATGTCTGCTGTGCACCTTCTTTCATCTTTAACATTTTATTTTTTAGAATGTCCATTGCCGAATAAAGGCTGTACGATAGAGAAGGCGGACTGTGATACGCCGTGCGAGGCCGGGAAGTATTACCAGTGTGTCAATTCCTGCGATCGCTTTGCCAGATGCTGGGCAGGGTTTTATTTTGTCCAGCAGTGCTACAAAGCTCATTTTGATCCACAAACAGGCAAATGTAAACTGGGCAAAGGCCACTGTACTGATCAAGAATGGAATCCCGGAACAAGACAGAGGGGTAGAAGGAAATTCGGCGGTGTCCGTGGATTTGGGATTGGTAAATAAATCCTTGTGCATGGGTTATACCAAAAAACTAGTAAAGAATTATAGAAAGAATCTCGGGGTCTGCAAAAGAAAATTTCTTTTTTAGGAATTTTTTTTTATTTTTTTGGCGTAAAGTAGAACATTTTCTTTTGCAAATTACAAATTCAGAAAATCCGATAGATTTATTATAAAAGCTCGAGAGATCTCTGATTGTAACGGAAAGTGCAATGATGTTTGTGAGGAAAAATCATTTACAAAGTGCAATATTTTGTTTTTCTTATGTGCCATATTTGTTTTTGCATTGATGTCTCTATGAAAGAAACCACGACAAGTCCCAAACAATAATGACAATATCAATGTTTATGTAGATTCTACAAATCGTCCTGATCACTGTTGTTTATATTTAAGTGTTCCTGGGATCATGATTAGATTTGTAGAGCAAAGCATCAATCAAATCCCTCCGCGAGCATGTGCCAAATTTGTCTTTTTTGTCGTAATTATATGCAGTTTAGTTTGGGTCTGGTTTCAATTTGTCTTCCTATACTTTCCTCGGTTCTAAATGGAGTGATCCGTGGAAAAATCTGTGATTGATTGGACAGCATAGTGCTAGTCATCCATTTTGTAATTTATTTTATTTTCATTCATGTAATATATCACATTTTGACTTGTTTTATACATATTTTAAATGTATATTTTGAAAATAAAAAGATATTTATTATTTTTTCTTGTCTGTTAATTATCTTACATTACAATTTTTCCGTGGATTTTCTCTATTTTATTTGGTTCTGCGCATGAAGTTCGTAATCTCCTAATACGTTTTAAAAGAACTCTACCTTATTTACTAACTTAGAATGATTGATCATTACTTAGTGTAAAATTCATTGAATCTACATAAAGAAAAAACTTTTCTACTTTTCATTTTGTAAGACATTGTGTCTTGCTTACAACCTTCAAGAAACAGAACTTCATAATATAAAAAAAAATGAATATTTTGATTGGTTCGTGTTGAATAAGATCTCTTTAATTCTATATTCTTATCCGAAAAGGGTGTCACTAGTATTATAACCATAACCGTACATGATCAATTCTGCTTTTGCCAAAAAACAGCGGTAAATTTTGCTATTCACTTTGTTACAAAATTCGTTAACGGTAAATAGCAATGGACAACACTATAATTTGTATCAATTTATTGCGTTTCTATGACCTTAATTTTCCATGTTGGAAGTCTGGTCATCATGATTTTTGTTGAAACTTAAGAATTTTAAAAAACAAATTTTTCAAAAGTAAGAAACATTTGTTCAAAAATACTTACATAGTATGATAAGTGTAAATCTTATAAGATTGTAATGAAATTAAGAATTGATACAAAAAATATAGGTGTGAAATAGATAGGTTTTGCTTGACCAAGAAAGAAAGTCCATATAAATAAGCCTGAACTTGGAGAATATATTCTGAGGAATCGGAAAGGAATGCTGGGTTTGAGGGAACAGTTAGCAATAGCGCCCTGTTATCTGCAGACCTATTTTTGTATTTATGTGAAGCAGAGTTTATTGAAACTCTTAAACATGACAAGAAAAAAATGCTTGCTGTAGTCTTCAACTGAACATTTAGATACTAGTATATCAACATTCTTTTTTGGAAAACGGGATGATTTTAACTTTTCACCAATTAGGGAATACCCGTAATTTATATCACAATTGATTCGATATGCAATTGCAAGAGCATGATATATCCCGAGGTAAATTATTGAAATTAAAGGCACCGAAAAGTCTGACACCTGTGTTTCATGTTTGGATATTTCATTAGAAAAATGCGTAAATGGTCATCTATCAACAACTTTTTATGAAAAACGTGATGATTTTAACTTTTCAATCGTCAGCTCCGCTTACTTATGTTACAACATACCCTGATCCCACCTCTGATGTTTAAGAGGTCTGTATATGCTCTGCTCCTGATTTGTATTGTTTTAATGGACTTTTGAACTTGAATATTGTTCGTTATTTCCATACATTTCAGCAATAATAATAATTTTTTAAAAAGTAATTCTAAAGTCATTTTCAATAATTCAGACTCCCTCACATTCAAGAGACATTAATTATGGAGTGTGTCATATTTAAATAATTTAGGATCATTTTATCAATTTGGAATGTATAACAAATTATGCATCATTTTAAATGTCTTGCTATTTTTTCTGATGAATTAATTAACATTTTAAGTAACGATCTGCGTGTTAAAATGCACAATAGTTTATAATTATTTTGTAAGATTTATTAAGAGAGATTGGGCATTGCACAATTGGTGCTTCATGTGAAAGAAAAGTAATTGGCTGTAAAGTGAATAATGCATCTTAATACATCATAAGTACAATTTAATAGTCTTAAAATTAAATGTAGATTGGATACAAATTTGCTGATTTTTTTCTCTAAGGCACAATTATTATTCATGATTCTTCATGGCAAAGCATTAAAGAGGGAAATAAATAATTCCAGAATGATGTAGCGGTTTGTATTTTAAGTATCACCTCATAATACTACCACTCTAAACAAAATGCAAGTACAAAACGTAAATGGTTTTATTGTGCAGTGCAATTCAAATATTTTTCATTACAAAACTCTTTAATGCAATTCTATCATTCTAATAGTAATGTCTTTTTTTGGTTGCATATTTATTTTCATTCATGATTTAACATTATATAGTATGACAAATTACAATTTGTAGATAAAAATTGCCAGTCTTATTTGTAAAGATATAAAAACAAAAACAAAGAACTAATTCACGTCACGACTGGTTTTATAATATCGTATTTACGTGTAAAATTTTCATTACTCCTAAACCTACATTTATATTTTTCATGACATAGTTCAAGTTGTCAGACCAATCAACTTCAAAATCGAGCCTGCTCGTAAACTATGAATACGCTGACACTTTTATATGTATATGTTAATTATAAACGTATATTATTCTTTGAAGCATTCTTTAATCAGAAGTTATTTTAGGGGAGGGGGTTGAGGGGTGGAATTACATCTTGAGGCCACTGTCAAAGATTTTGATGAAACACGTTTATCAACAATCTCATTATAAGTTAATATTTCGCAAATTCTATGATCAATAAAATGATTTTGTTAGCGAATACAATATATCAATATTGACTTTCTTATTTGGAATGTTGACTGATGTATTTTCGTACAAATTGATAGCTTAACTGTTGATTGATTGTATATTGTTTAATATCCCTCTCGTAAATTTTTCACTCATATGAGAACGCCCTTAGTTTAACTGAATTATCTAGTATGAATTTTCCCTTTACATCGTCATAATAAAGAGCACCTGTACGTGACTGGACATGACCGGCATGTTCAATCCTCAATGGCACCTGATCCTTCCCCTGTGTTCAGACGTCCTTCTTTGCTCGGCTCACAATTTGCATGATTGGACTCAAACACGCTTGCTGTTCGTTTTCTTCACATTGATTTATGTATAATTTAAAATCAGGAAAAATTAAATCCCTTTAAATCCTCGTTGTTTTCATAAATAGTTGAAAATCCACATCTGAAGCCTCAGATATATATTTTTATCTACGTATATTTTTTATTATATGTATTATTTATATACATGTACTTGTAAATGGTTTGAATTTTGAAAGTGGGGGGAGGAAATCTTACCTGAAAAAGTTGACAAGCAAAAAAAAAAGGGGGAGAAACTAATATGTTTTTCCTTTCGATATCCATTTTTTTTAAGCAAGTACTATATTTCCTTCATATTACTTTACTTTAGCCTTTCAGTGAACATTTTCAATAGTAAAAGTATTGTTGGTTGCTACTTTTAAACTTCTGCATTTACAAATTTTTTTACAATTTTTTTTTTGTATTCTGCAAAATAAAAAGAATAAAAGTTTTTTTTCTTGCATAAAAATACATCAATTATAGGAAAAAATTAAAATATATTGATAGGATATATTACAAATGGTCGACTCTAGACCTAAATCGGTCTATGTTACAACCTATGTATTCATGCAGATTTAATGCAACCTATATCATTCACCGCTCTCCGTACATGTAGCAGAGTAATATGAGCTGTCTAACTTATGTTGTTGTGTGAGACTAGTTTTATGAAAATTTTAACCATAGGTTTTCATTAATATTTTTAGCAAAAGATTTTAAATGTCTATATACCTTTTCTTTACTTATTTAATTAGATATTCATATGATGCATTCATTAACAACATTTAAAAAAAAAAAAAATTAAATCATTTTGTTGCTAATATCGGCCTTTCGATGTTGTAACCATACATGTAGTTTAAAAGCACAGGCACCTGACGTTACTTATTTTTCTTAATTAAAAAAAATATATGCCCATACCTAATAATAAAGGTACGGGTATATTTTTTTTATTTAAAGAAAAATAAGTAACGTCAGGTGCCTGTGTTTAAAAGGGATGTCTTAAAGACCTATTAAATATAATTCTGGTATGGCATTCCTCCTTAAATTAATAATGCTGATCCTAGTTCAGAGCTTCGTTTGCTGCTATAACAAGTGGTCGTAAAGAATGTAAAAGATCTCTGAAAGTTAATACAATATAAGTATATACATACTAATGAGAAAAAAATATTTTTGTTTGGTTGACATTGTATTCGTCAGCAGTAGTTTCCACACTATGACGCTGTACAGTACTATAAATAGGGACGGTAAACGACAAAATATTTATAGTTTTTGTTCATTGTTAGGTGTCTGGTACTATGACGTCAACAACTAGATTGACCTATTTATAATTAACTTCGGGTTCAAAGAAAAAGTCGTTACCTGGACAGTCAAACAGGATGCAAAGTGCATCTCCATAACTGTAGCAAGACAATTAATCAAACTGGGGTTTTTCTCTTTATACAAATTATGTTTTGTTAATAAATTTGCAACTGTGAAGAAAAGTTTTGCTTGGTGATTCCCCTCTCTTGTACACGCTATTTAAAGCTTTTAATTAATAAATATTAATATACTTATCTAATTTAATTTGATTTTTGATACATATATATATAGTATGTAATTGGTGGTATTTTAAATGAACAGTATATCATCTTTTAGAAATATGCATATAAGCTTAGTGATAAGGTCGATTTCCAAACGAAAAAAACATGAATCATTTTTTGAACTGTATTGCACACAGATGTTTTAAAAGAATTAAATTTTTTTTTTCAAAGTTGATTACCGTGTAAATATACAAATTTGTAACATCATGAAGAAAAATAAAATAATTTCCGGATCTCTTAGAAAATCATTTCTAAATTTAAACCTGAAAAAAGGAAAACAAAATAACGATGCAATTTTTCAAAAAAGAAATATAAAATGTTGGAAAAATGCAAAACAAAGGAAAAAACAATTCATAACTTCTTGATAATCTATTTTTACGGCATTTGCGTAGTTCAAAGGTAACATTAATGAAACAGGTGAGAAAATCAATCACTGACAAAATGATCTGCTCATCGAACAAGTGTCATCGATGTCGCACACTCTGATACGAGCATTCCAAATCTTCAAATAAAAACCCAAGGATGTCAGTGGACGACATGTTGTGACGTCACAGAAAATCGTGGTTATTTCCTCGTAAAATCGAGAGTATAAGAATAGACGGCAGAAAAAAGACACCATCAAAGACGTGAGACCTAGCAACCTCTAACAACTAGAACACCATTGTCAAAACTGCAATTAAAAGGTACAACTTACAAATTTTCAATTACGTTCTTTTTTATTGTTTGCAAAAAAATAAATCTTTAATTAATTATTAAATTAACGTAAGTGTTTGAAAAGCAATTTATCCTTTATGTATTTTTTTCAGATGGGCAGCATCACATTATGCCTGCTGGCATTATGCATCCTGTTTATACAGACGAATGGTCTCCTACGATCTAGAGATCTTCCAAATGAGATGGCAAAATGCTTAAACAAGTTTTACAAATCGTGTACTATCGAAGATGAGGTGGGACTTTCTATTCTGCATAACTGCATTCAGGAATATAAGTGGAAGCCTAATCCAGAGCGACAATATCCGGTGAAGCGACTCAGTCCAGGCGCTATAGCCTACGGCGAGAGGCTGGCCAGAAGGGTACAGAGTCTGGGCTCTCGCCGGGGTAAAAGACAGGCGGTGCGCAGGAGAAAGGAATACCGGATGTTGACTGATGATGAGAGAAACAGGTACCACAACGCTGTCAGGAGACTCAAAGAAAGTCGGGTAAGCATACTTAGTAGAATTCATTGCTCTCAATATATGTGATAATGAAAGAAGAAAAAGGGAGGAGCTAGCATAATTAACAATGACTAATGCCCTATGTTTATCTTTAGAATGGAGAATCTCAGTACGACATGATTGCATCTATACACACAGGCGATATAGAACAGACGGCTCATTTTGGGTGTCATTTTGCAGGGTTTCACAGGGAATATCTGAAAATGTAAGTCATCAGTGCAAATACAACTCTAAGTTCAAACACATGTAATCAACATTTTTAAAAATATTTAGTAAAAACTGTATTTTTTCAACTCATTTTGGCTTGATTTTAGATATGAAACACTGTATTTTAGTTCTTTTTCCATTGAATTATTGTCAACCTTGCAGTAATTTGTTGGATTTTCTCCAGGTACGAGGAGGCCCTTCGAGAGATTGACCCCAGCGTGACCCTCCCTTACTGGGACTCCACAATAGAACAGTACATGGATAGCAGTGCGGAGTCGCTTCTATTCACAGCAGAATTCATGGGTAATGGCAATGGAGAGGTAACGTCTGGACCTGCTGCTAATTGGCAAACAGAAACTGGTCCTTTAAGAAGAAACATTGGTGTTGAGGGGGAACTTTACCTATTCGAAGAAATTCAGAATATTACTAACCAAACACGGTTTACAGATATATGCGGGTTAACAAGAGATGTAGAGAGCAATGGTTTGGAATTCCATCACGGTGACATTCATCTGTGGGTTGGTGGCAACATGGCGGAACTAAACACTGCAGCAGACGATCCTCTTTTTTGGATGCATCACGCCAATGTGGACAGAATTTGGGAACTTCAGCGGAGTTTTGCTCGCCGAGCTGGTGTTGATGTTGATAACGACTACCCTACAGATCCAAACGACTTCGGAAACGAGTTCCATGCACCAGATGCAGAGTTCGGCTTATTTAGAACAGACCTGCGTGTTAGAGACGGTGTAAGTGGTCAACTTATAAATGGAATTTATCAATACGAGCAACCTCCAACCTGCAGTGCCAACAGAATGGACTGTGGCTCTAATCAATTACGTTGTGCTCAGCTAAATGGGCGATATCTCTGCATTTCTAAAACTCTTGAAGAATATCGAAGAGATTTGGAAGAAGAGAGAACCAGACCAGGTGGTAATAATAGAGGATTTCCTAGACAACCCACAAATCCATGGTTCAATAGACGGTGGTTTGGTGGAAATACCAGAAACCCCTCACGCCCAATGCCACGCGTTAACCCCGGTGAACCAGAGGCCATCACCTACCCACTGATTGACCAGTGCTCAGCATTTGAATACAAACCTATCCAAAACAGTTTTTGTGCTAACGGTCGTAAGGACGTTAAGGAATGGGTTTATCTCCCAGTCAGAGTTATTTCTCAGAGGGATCCATCATTCACCAAATATGATTCTTATCCCGTAAGAAGCGGTAATATCCGATCAGGAAGTGATATTTACTCTTTGAATTCTTACACCAAACTGAAGTCCGCTTTGAACCCAGGCAGTCCACAGTGCTATCAGAAATGTCGATCCTCGCAAACTGGAGCAGGAGAAGTATTTGTCAGAACCGACGGAATTTCTTATACCGGAACATACCAAGAATACGCCATTGTAGATCAGAGACTTCCGGTCTCTGTTTCAGTTGCTTACGTCGCCGTGAAGAGCCCAGTCCGAGGGAAGACCAGTGCTGTTATTTCAGCGTATGATTCCTGTGGAAGGGTTTGTCGTCCATCTTGTTTAAATCTTAGAAGCAAGAAATATGAACCATGTTCCGGTGCGATAGACGTTACCACGAAAGCGCCACATTTGTATGCTTATTCACTGGGAGATTCCATAATGAAGCTGTACGGCCTTAACGGTGCCCCTCAGTTCAACGACAACGAAATTTTCCTGTCATTCTTCTGTGACTACAGCAATAAGTGGTAGACGGTCATCGGGCAAGCCAAAATTCAGCCGTCTCCCCGCTGGACCCGACCCACGTATCCTGGAATTCAGGGACCATCACCCAAAATCAGTAATCAAGTAGCTCCTCAGAAAAAGTTCAACGGAAACAAACCACTTTCTGGCGTCATAAATCGTAAGTTGAAATTTTTCTTGAATTGCTTGAGCTGCTTTAATGTTGCTACCTTTTTAAAATATAAAATATTGCTTTGTTCTTTTAGAAAATTCATGCAGATGTAATTATCTTTGAAAGAAAATCTTAAGACTTAAGATGTTTCATTTTATCACCAAGTTTTTAAACTTGACAGGTTCTCCTACATTAAACCTTGAACCTATTCATTCATTTTTAAACAAATCTATTTGTTTCATTTCAGACTGTGATCTTGGTAACGGATGCATCATTCAAAGACCCGGCTCTTGTAATAGCCCATGCGCTGAAAACCAGATCTACGAATGCACCAACGCCTGTAACAGATTTGCGAGATGCTCTATGGGAAAATATTTCGTCAACCGATGTTACGGCGGCCATTTTGATTCTGCAAGCAAAAAGTGCAGACCAGGAATCGGAAGATGTTCCATGCACGAATATAGACTTTAAACTGTATTCCGTGGATAATAACTCTACATGTGCCAATTATAAACTGTCTGTGATAGTATGAAATGTAGATGAGTGAATGTTAGCAAGAGAGAGTGGGGACAGAGAAGGAAGGAGAATTTCATAGAATGTCAATCTGAGATGTGTAGAGATTCTCATACGATACACTGTGTGTACGAAAAAAGGGATGTTCGTATTTGATTTGAATTAAAGTCTCAATAAAGCTTCGAAAATAAGGGGAAATGCATGGGAAAATTAAATAAAACCAAAGAAGCAATCCTATCCATTACTAAAAACCCTCAGGATTTTAAAAAAAGTTTGTTATAAATGGTTTACTTTTTTATCGCGTGTATGTGTGGAAAAATGAAAAGGGGCATGCGATAACTTGTGTTATCGTACATCTGCCGTTTTCGTTCAATTTGTTTACAACATAGAAATCCATTAAAAACCTAAACAATTGA